GTATTATGGACACGGTCTTACTCCAATTCCCTTTACCCTGCCCTACCCTTGTCCAACCTCAATGCCAGCACCCATGCATTCTTTGATCTGGATCATCAGCTTCAGTGCTGGAATAACCTAACCAAGTTAGGCATTCCCTGTGCATCATGGCCATTGTCTTACCTCAACTCCCTCTACCCGATCCTACCACTGACCCCATCCTACCATTCTTTCGTCTGTAACATCAGCTTCAACACTGCAATAACAGCAATCAAGTTATTGAGTGCTCACCAAGCGTGCATTAGTGATATGGTATTAGAATTAGGCTCATGAGCTGGAGACCATGTCCCTCCACGCTGCCCACCCCTATCTTATCCCACCTGTATACACCCACCTGTCAATCAGACAACGTAACCACTCCCCTTTTGGAAGTGAGTAAGAGGCATGGAGTGCCCTGGGCCTGCCCCTGCTCTCCTGTGTGCCTCTTGCCTGCTGCCCATTTTTGCTGCACTCCAGCCTGTAGACTCCTACATGTGGCCCCTGGTCTGCCCTCTGAGATTCTGGTACAGAATTTCCCATTTACCCTTCCTAGGTACTTCTCCTTTAATAAATCCCTCACATTCCTGTGTATTTCTCTTGCTTCCCCAAATAAATTCTGAGCTTTACCATGTTGCTTGTCTCATTTGTGTCTATTCTTAGAATGCTTCTCTAAGCTTGAGGCAATAACTCGAACTATTAATTTTAAAATATACTAGATGATAAGATTAGGAGTCACCCTACAGAAAAGGAGAATGGAGAGGAGGAAGGATGATTTTTTTAAAAAAGACCATTATTTTGATTACAAATGTCAACTGCCAGAACTTACTCTGACACTTCATGTCTAGCAGTTACTTGTATGTTTTTTTTTTTTTTAAGATTTTTTTATTTATTTGAAATGTAGAGCCAGAGAAAGAAAGAGGGTGAGACAGAGCGACAGATCTTCCATCTGTTGGTTCACTCCCCAAATGGCGAATGGAGTTGAGCCAGGCAGGAGCCAGGAGCTTCATCTGGTCTCCCACCTGGGTGCAGGGGCCCAAGCACTTAGTGCATTTTCTGCTATCTTCGCAGGCACATTAGCAGAGAGCTGGATCAGAACTGGAGCAGCCTGGACTAAAACTGATGCCCAGAGGGGATGCTGGCACTGTAGGCCGCAGCCTAACCCAATAAGCCACAATGCCAGCCCCTACTTTTGGTTTTATTCCTGAGCTGTTGCATAGGTTCATTGAGGCAGCTGGAGGTTTGCTATTCTAGGTACCATGCACTACAATTCTACTTTGAAAAATCAGAGAGATAAGTGCAATGTGGGGAAAGATGAAATAAGTTGCACACATCCACAAAGCAAAGAAATTCCAGAGCAAGAGTGAAATCTAAGCCTGATTCCAGAGCCATGTAAGAATCTCCAAGCCAGAACCACAGAAATTGTTTACAGGATCCTGGATGGACTCAGTCTTATGTCAGAAGTTAGTTGAAGCCAGTTTCTTACGTCTACCGATGGTGACATGATGAGGAATTCTGCCTTTTCTACCTTATCTTTTTTTTTTTTTTTTTTTTTTAAACAGGCAGAGTAGACAGTGAGAGAGAGAGAGACAGAGAGAAAGGTCTTCCTTTGCCGTTGGTTCACCCTCCAATGGCCGCCGCGGCTGGCGCACCGCACTGATCCGAAGGCAGGAGCCAGGTGCTTCTCCTGGTCTCCCATGGGGTGCAGGGCCCAAGAACTTGGGCCATCCTCCACTGCACTCCCGGACCACAGCAGAGAGCTGGCCTGGAAGAGGGGCAACCGGGACAGAATTCGGTGCCCCAACCGGGACTAGAACCTGGTGTGCCAGCGCCGCAAGGCAGAGGATTAGCCTATTGAGCCGTGGCGCTGGCCCCTTTTCTACCTTATCTAAGTGGTGCTATATAATGTGGTCCACTGAAGTGAATACACTTTTTCCTCATAAAGACAATAAAAGAGGTAATAGAATCTGTTTTATAGTTTTATAACATTTAATATGTTAACTATAAATCCTTCTTAATAATCTACTTTAGAAATTATTAGAAGTCAAACATTCACTTGAAATTAGAAATCTTGGTTTAATTTCTGCTGAAACCAATTCAAGTTGTAACACGAAATTAACTTTGAATTAACACCTACAATATATGAGATTAGAGCTTAAAGAAATTTAATGAGGATTACTTAGATAGAATAAAACAAGAAGCAAACTAGGTTTTAGAGACATATTTGCCACGCAACATTCTCTATGTCTGATGTAGTAATCCATAGCAATGATTAGAACATGTAAATTCACACAGAAACATTTACAAGAATCTTCATAAGACTGAACTCAAAATATTACTATTTCATACCTATTTAACTTATTAAAATGAAATATCACCTAAAAATGGTCATTCTAGCTTTTGAAAACAGCAACACCCCGTAAGAAATAACAGGAGTGGGCATTTGGCATAGTGGGTTAGTCACCACTTGGGAAGTTCTCATCCAATTCCAGTGTCCTATTAATGCACACTCTGGGAGGCAGCAGGTGATAGTTTAAGTAAGTTGGTTCCTGCCACCCATGAGGGAGACCTGAATGCAGTTGAGGGCATCAGCAATGAATCTCAGACAATTCTACTATTGTGGGCATCTGGGTAGTGAACTGAGGGTGGGAAGAACTGTGTTTTTCTCTTCCTTTCAAATAAAATGAATATATATATATATACACACATATATACATCTATATATGCGTATATATATATATATATATATATAATTAAAAAATTAGCCAGTATCTTAAGGCTTAGAATGTTAGGATTCTATTAGTGCTAAATCAACACAATGTGTTATCCAAGAGGTCTTCAATGAACCACTTTATTATATTTTAAGTATTTGTGAATTCCATTCAGAAAATAATTTTAATGTGCTGCTGACATATGACCAATAGTTCATGTTGTTCCAATGCTTCTCTCAAGAGAGGTGTGACCCGCTTACAATAAACAGAAAAAGGATAAAGGAAGAAAAATATCACTGAAACTAGGAAGAAAACAGAAAAAAACTAGCAAGTACCTCCAACTGAGATTCTAGTTTGTGGAAAATGTTTTTCAGGAAAAGCTTCCCATTTTCAGAGAACATTAAAAACTGTTTTCATAAGTGCTTTCTCTTACACTTATATCATATGCAGATGACTTTGGGGGAACCTGTGGAGACTCTCAGTTATAATAGATGATAATGAAGATGCCAAGGTGAGTCACTGGTGAAGAATCATAGCAAAGCACCACCAACCAGCCATCTCCTTCCTTTCAAATACTGTCCTAGATAGTTTGTTACCTTACAATGCCACTGTGGATCAAAACTGTTATAAAGGGAACAGACACTTAGCCAACATCTTAAGAAGTCAGTAGGGGTGCCCATGTCCCACATCAGAATACCTATTGTTCAATTCCTGGCTCCAGCTTCTGACTCCAGCTTCCTACTAATGCAGACCTGATACCCACATGGAAAACCCAGACTGAGTTCCTACCACATGGCTTTGGCCTGACCATTCCTGGTAACTGTATTTGGGGAGTGAAACAGAAGAGCACTCTCTGTCTCTTTGCCTTACAAAAAGCAAAATAAAATATCGTTATACAAGGTTCTCATTATCACCATACCTTCACATGTGCTCATGTGTGCACATACAAACACACACAGGAGTTGAGTACATGTCCCACTTCCCACTCCTTCCTTGTTTCCTGAATATAAGATGAGGTCACCAAGGTCAAGAAGGAAGAGACTAATTATTTTGAAGGAACAGACTAATCCAATAAGAGAACAATTTAAGATCAATAGTGATGGCATTATTTTAATATTAGTCTCCAAGACCAGCAGGTTAAGCTGCTGCCTGTAACACTGGCATCCCATGTGGGCGTTGGATGAAATCCTGGCTGCTCCACTTCCAATCCAGCTCCCTGCTAATGTGTCTGGGAAAGCAGAAAGGTGGTCCAAGTATATGGGCCCCTACCACCCACGTGGAAGACCTGGATGAAACTCCTGGTCCAACCCTGGCCTTGTTGGTAATTTAGAGAGTGAACCAGCAGATGCACGATCTCTCTGTCTCTCCCTTGCTTTGTCTGCCTTTCAGATAAATAAATTAAATCTTAAAAAAAAAAAAACAACAACAACAAAAAAAAACCACAATTGGAATCCCTTGGCACGTTTCTAACTCTCCCATTAGGGACAAGTCCGATTGACCATGTGCCAAACTGCACATCTCCTCCCTCTCTTATTCCCACTCTTATATTTAACAGGGATCACTTTTCAGTTAAATTTAAACACCTAAGAATAATTGTGTGTTAATTAAAGACTTCAACCAATGGTATTAAGTAGAATAAAAAAAATACTAAAAGGAATAAAGCAGTAAGTTGTTCCTTGACAGTCAGGACAAGGCCTGATCAAGTCATTGTTTCTCACAGTGTCCATTTCACTTCAACAGGCACTACCAAGACTGAACTATGTTTGGTGTTTTTAATGATGTGAAAAGTTCATTTTACCTGGCTGCCTAAAATGTACTGTCCCAGGCAAAAACAACTAATTCCAACAGCTGATTTATGATACGTATAATTATACAACTTTTTTCCCCCAAAATCTGATATAGCTAGGAGAGTTAAAAAAAAAAAAAACCAAAAAAAAAAAAACCAGCTGATTCTACCACTACCAAGTAATTAATGAGAGACATTTTTGGCAGAGGAAACCAGGGAAAGTGAAATAAATCTCTGGCAAATTGTCTACTGTCTTACCATTAAAATGAAATCATTACTTAGGACCTTCTTCCTGACTTCTTTTAAGTTCAAGTTTTAATGAGTTTTTGATTATTTATACCTTGGAGATAATTAAAAACCTGCAGGGAAGTGCCACACTAGGCAAAAACATCGAAGAAACAAAAAAATCACTGCCTGGCCTTTCTGCTGCCTCCCATCAGAGGAGTGTATAAGCACGTCTTTCAGCCTTTGCTTTGCATATTTCTTACCTTGGCTGCTTCTAAAGGCAAATCGTGGCGTCTATGTTTCCGCATCAGCACTGGATCAGAACCCATTCTACTGTGCCTTCCATTTACATTTGAACTAGCTGTGATTCCAGGCTTTGGAGAGCCATCTCCCAGGATGCGACAGCCCACCAACTGATTAGTCCCAAACACATCCCGAGGGCACCAGGCTTCAAGAGGCATTGGCTGGTCTCTGCAAGGCACACTTTCCACATGATGGAAGTGTCTGCTCAGTCTGTTTTCAGGGGGGATTGGGGGAGGTCTTTCCGGTGGAGGCGGAGGAGGATCTCTTAAGGGAGGAGGTGGTGCTGGGAGTGGTTTATCTTGTTTTCTCACCATGCAAGGAGAAGACTAAAAAGACACAAGAGAAAAAAAAATCCTGAAAATTGTACCATGTAGGCAATAACTTCTGTACTAGCATATTACTGCTTTTGTTTGCTAAATCATAATGGAGACTTTAGATTCCTAGACCCGACTTTTAATAACTTTCTTTTTAGCATTAGTTAATGAAATTTTTAAACTTTAATGAACAACTCATACACATATTTCATTGGGCTTTTTGAAAATTACAAATGAGTATATAAATGCAAATGTTATGATGTAGAAACTACACAGAAAAAAGTAGATCAAAATTATATCATGACTCCAATGTTATAACGATTTCATGGAAATAATTTATTTACTAGCATGTTTACAAATGAAATCCACCAAAATATCTGCCATCATTTTACTTTTCAAAGACCAATTTGCTTTGTAATACTTCCGGAAAATTAGGAGTATTTTTTAAACTTTTGTTTTCATTATTGCATTATAGAACACCTGATATGAAAAAATTTGTTCTGGTTTTGGTGTTTTATCATTTATTATGAGAATGCTGGCAAAAAATCACATATGATAAAACAACATTACTCATATAATTACTTGAATTTATTAGATTTTTGAAATGAAAAAAGAAAAGTCAATCTGATACTAACATGGAAACATGAAGATATAAACCGGTAAACTGAATCTGTGTGGCTCTCAGAGCTTTCAATCATTATTAGAAGATTCATCTAATGAATGATTTGGGCCTTTAATATTTAAAAATACTAAAAATTTTGTTTTGTTTACATAATTATGAATGACATTCTCTAATCACTTTAAGTGCTTTTAAAATGAAGTGAATTGTAATGTAAGCAAATATTACTAAAAATATTATCCTTCCAACCAATTTTAGACTATAAAGCATCTAAAAATGGAATTAATTTCTAAAATTTTAATAATAGTAATATATACCCTTATCAAATTTGGAAAAAACTCCATATAGAACTAAAATAAACTGTAGGCTTAATTTACAGTTAGAATTATATCTTTAATATTAAACAATAATGTAATTACTTTACAAACACTGTAATTCATAGTAATTAATTCTGCCACATATAAAAAGTACATATAATTCCCTCTTCTGAGTCACCTTGAAACACAGGTGGTAATTTATCACACCTTAAACCCTTATGCAAATATACTCCCATATCACATTTTTCTTGTCATGACATTATGAAAATGAGTGTAAAATACCATTTGATAACAGCATGCAAATTATTTTAATGCATATAATGACCTTTTAAATCCATTTTACAGAACGACATTCTATTTATTTGCCAAATCAGGGGCTACAGATATGTGCTCTGACTAATTATGTAACTTTTATGGTAAGAAAGCCAGGAATATGACAGTAGGCTCAACACAAACAAATGAGAAACTCACTGAAGTTACTCATAAACAATTAAGAATACAAGAAACATGAATAATAGAATGTAAAAAAACCCAATCAATCAATAATAGTCATATAAAGTCAATATCTGTGTTTCCAGGACAACGATTTACCTTCGGCGAACCAGTTGGGCTACCACAGGGAGAACGGGCTATGCCCTTCTGAATTAGATCCAGGCGAGGAGGCACTGGTGGCAGGCTGAGATGCGGGATTTGGAGAGGATCTGCCTGAGGCTTTCTTCTCTGGGCAAGGGGAGAGGACCCAGGTGATGTGACTGGTGAGTTTTGCCTGTCGGTGCACTAGAATAGCAAAGAGAGAAACACACTCCTGTTTATTCAATGTGAAGAATGTGTCTTTCAGTCCTTGTGGAAGGCATTTGGTTTGGATAAGTGTTTGCCATTGCATATTTGCTGAAATAAACTACTTTAGTTTCCTCTGATTAACAGATGCAAAGAGCCTCTTATTGTGCTTTAGGGTTAGTATTATGTAAGGAATAGATTTAATAAGTTTCTTGTACGAATTGCCTAGGAAAGAACAGCAAAAGTGTAAAGACAGTCAAATGTAGGAAATTTTTCAAGAAACCTGTTATGAGTTTTATTTTATAAGTAAACCAGAAAAACACAAAGCAGCAATGCACACTGCTCTTGGTTATCTGTAATATAAAATTTCCTTAGAGCTTTGTATATTCTAAAATTAGAAATTGCCTCGTTTCATAAAAAATATGTTTCAAGTGCATAGTTTATTTTCCTGTAAGTCAGTTAAGTCAGGAGAGGTTTTTTTAAAAATGTTTATTTGAATAAGCATGCTTGAACCCTAATATACTTTCTTAAGTCTTCACATAGAAAAGAAATCCTCAAGTTAATTTTTTTTTGGAAAAACAATGAACTAAATGTAGTAAAGTCTATCTGCTAAAAACTGGTAAGTTTCTATGTTACCAGATGTTTCCTATCTTTGTCAGGTATTTAAACCAGCACCAAAACCCAGTAACAAATACTTTAATTTGTACATATGCTCATGTAACACTTTCTATTTAGGGGAGATTTGGTTTATTTGTGTGTGTGTGCAGGCACATGTGCACGTATCTGTGTCTTAAGGTGGCATAACCTGATCCCTATTTGGTATAAAAATCATCCCAGCTAATCAAATAACCTTAATATAATAAATATACTGTTCTAAACTACCAGACAGTTTGTAGCTACACTGCCAGTTCTTTGAAGATCTAGGTTTTTTGCTTCCATTCGTTTTTTCGTTTGTTTCAAGTGCATAGTTTATTTTCCTGTAAATAACCTACCATGCTTTGATATTCATCTGTTTGGGAATCCTTTTTAGTAGTCATATTAATAAAGAATTTACGCTTGCCCCTAAGTAACTTTCCTCTTAACATCACCCACCTTTATAAAAGTTGATGTCTGTACCTGATGATTTAATTTGAATTTTAATAATACCAAGGAATATTTAATAATTCTGGCTAATAGATGTGTATTCAAATCCACACTTAGTTACAATGTGTCTTTTATCTTAATTAGCTAAAAATCATACTTCATTCAACTTTTTCAGTTTTTAGCTCATGTCCTATGCCATAGGATCATAAGCTACAGATTTCATCTAGGGCACTACATTAGTTTTAGTCATCAACTCTCCTTAAGAGTTCCTTAGACATTATTTTTCTTGGATGGGGGGGGGTGCCTTAATAGTTTTGCTGAGTATTGGTTAGGTATTTTATTTTATTTTTTATTTTATTTTTTATTTTTTTTTGGACAGGCAGAGTGGACAGTGAGAGAGAGAGACAGAGAGAAAGGTCTTCCTTTGCCGTTGGTTCACCCTCCAATGGCCACTGCGGCCGGCGCACCGCGCTGATCCGATGGCAGGAGCCAGGAGCCAGGTGCTTTTCCTGGTCTCCCATGGGGTGCAGGGCCCAAGCACCTGGGCCATCCTCTCCACTGCACTCCCTGGCCACAGCAGAGAGCTGGCCTGGAAGAGGGGCAACCGGGACAGAATCTGGCGCCCCAACCGGGACTAGAACCCAGTGTGCTGGCGCTGCTAGGCGGAGGATTAGCCTAGTGAGCCGCGGCGCCGGCCTTAGGTATTTTATTGAATGTCCTTTTATTGCGGTTTGTCTGATGGTTGGCTTTTGATTTTAAGTTTTTGGAAGGAAGACCACTGAACTGAAGTACCATTCTGACGACACCATGCCAAGGACCCATACAAACAACAGAACTGATTGCGGTCGATGTTGACCTTGCTTACTCGCCTGAGGTACTGTTTATCAGGTTAATTCACTGTGAAGTTTCTTGCGTTTTTCTCTTCCTTCCCATACTGTACTCTTCGCAAGAAAGTCATTGCACAGCCCACACATAAGGAATGCACAGTTATGCTTATTTTGTAAAGGCCTTTGAAAAATAAATTTGAATGGCTACTGGGTATTTATAGAAAGTGAATGAAATAATTACATCACAGAGATATCTATAGCCCAAGGTTTACTGCAGTGGTATTTACAATACCAATGATATGGAATCAACCAACATGTCAAATAGTAGATGAATGGATAAGGAAAATGTGGTATATATTTACCATTCTTAAATTTTTTTTAAAAAAATTACTTATTTGAAAGAGCAGAAGCAGGAGAGAGAGAGAGAGAGAGAGAGAGAGCGAGCGAGAGAAAATCTTCCATTTGCTGGCTCACTCCACAAATAGCCACAATAGCCAAATCAGGGATAGGCTGAAACCAGGAGACAGGAACCCCATTTGGGTCTCTCACATGGGTGACAGAGACCCAGGCAATGCTGCCATCATCCACTGCCTTCCCAGGTGCATTAGCAGGAAGCTGGATCAGAAGCTGAGCAGCTGGGACCTGAACTGGCACTCTGATAAGGGATACTGACATTGCAATCAGTATCTTAACCTGCTGTACAATACTTTCCCTTTTAAAAAATTTATTTGTTCATTTATTGAGCATCCAATGTAAAGGAAGAGAAGGAGAAAGAGAGATCTTTCATATACTGGTTTACTATCAAAATGCTGTAACAGCCAAAGCTGGTCCAGGCTGAAGCCAGGAGTCAGGAACTCCCTCTGTGTCTCCCACATGGGAGACAGGGGCCCAAGCACTGCTGCCATGCCAGGGGCATTAGCAGGAAGCTGAATCAAAAGCACAGCAGCTGGAAATTGGACCAGCACTCCCAATATGGTATGCTGGCACACTATAGTGCTGGCTCTCAAAATAAAATTTTATTCAACATAATAATGAAATCCTGTCATGTTCAGCACATGGAAAGAACTGGAGGACACTTAAGTTAAATGAAATAAGCAAGTCACAAATAAACAAATCCTGTACATTCTGAGTCATGTGTGGAACCTGAAAAAGTAATCTCATATTAAGGACAGAGATCCTACATGAGGAGTAAGTGCACAGTGACTCCTGTTGTTGACTTAACAAATTGACACTCTTGTTTTAGGCATCAGTAATCTCCCTAGGCTCCAGTCATAAGTTTCCAAGGCCATGGAAGCCCCCTGAGCTCTCAGACTTTGATCTTATTTCGACAAGGCCATAATCAAAGTGGAAGTTCTCTCCTCCCTTCAGAGAAAGGTACCTCCTTCTTTGATGGCCCATTATTTCTACTGGGATCTCACTCGCAGAGATCTTTCATTTAGGTCCTCTTTTTTTTTTTTTTTTTTTTTTTTTTGCCACAGTGTCTTGGCTTTCCATGCCTAAAATACTCTCATGGGCTCTTCAGCCAGACCTGAATGCCTTAAGGGCTGATTCTGAGGTCAGAGTGCTCTTTAGGACATCTGTCATTCTATGAGTCTGCTGTGTATCCCGCTTCCCATGTTGGATCGTTCTCTCCCTTTTTAATTCTATCAGTTAGCTAGCCGGAGCCGTGGTTCACTAGGCTAATCCTCCACCTAGCAGCGCCGGCACACCGGGTTCTAGTCCTGGTCGGGGTGCCAGATTCTGTCCCGGTTGCCCCTCTTCCAGGCCAGCTCTCTGCTGTGGCCAGGGAGTGCAGTGGAGGATGGCCCAAGTCCTTGGGCCCTGCACCCCATGGGAGACCAGGATAAGTACCTGGCTCCTGCCATCGGATCAGCACGGTGTGCCGGCTGACTAAATAAAAGTTAAAAAAAAAAAAGTAATCTCATAGAAGTAGCGAGTAGAATGGTTGTCATCAGAGAACAGGAAGGGGAGGAGGGAGGTAGGTTAGAGGGAATTACCTTAGCTAGGAAGAATCTAAACATCTAAATGGTCTACAGCACAGGAGAGTAACTGTCATCTATAATATGTATATAGGGAGTTTTCAAAATAATTAGAAGTGTTCCATGGTAGTCAACACATAAAATGACAAACGTTCAAGATGGGAATGCTAATCATCTTGACTTGACCATTACACTTTGTACACATATATCATGTTATCACACTTTTACATGTGTAAAAATATATTCTAAATTTAAAAAGAAAAATAAATTTCAGTGACTCACCAGAAGTTTCTAGTCCATATTTCAGATATAACCGAATATTTTTATGACTGCTAAACTAAAAGTTGGTACCAAATAACTTAACATAATTCATTAAAATCATACAGGCTTTTATATAACAATCCTAAGAACATCTTCCTTTGAGCAATTTTGTGATTCTTCTACTACATATATTTTTATTACCTTCATATAAATACAAATATTTTTTCAATTGTCACTATGCTGAAGGACAAAAAGTAGAATCTTACAGTCATCAACTTATTTTAATGACACCAGTAATTCCTAAAAAATAACAGTTCTACCCAAAAAGTCATGGTGCTTCACACGGTCACAGTTGGAAACCTGTGGAGCAAAACTGTTCCCCAAATCATCAGAGCAGAAAGAATTCCTAATGTAAAGCTATTTGCATCCCAGAATTGTAGCACTGCAGATCAGATGTCACGGGGCATCTGATTCTCGACCTTTCATAGCTGCAAAAATGACAGTGTTCGCAAAGCAACAAAGCAACAAAGCAACAAACTGATACCTGACAAATATGTTTCGTTGATCTGGCTTCTATGTTTTACAAAGAAAAATCAAGAAGCAGAACTATTCATACACTTTCAAGCCAAATTACACACACGAGACACATACACACAGAATGCACAGCGCTTTCTTCATTTAGCTTGCAGACATTTCTCCGTGCTAGCTGCACGCACTGCAAAGTCTGCTAGATAGGATCTGGGCTCACCACAGCTTCACTTCAACAAGTATTTTCCCACTTCCCTTATTACCTGAAAGAAGGCACAGAATTGTAATGGAGCCAACAGCCTATCATCACAGTTTAGAACTT